CTTGTTGAATGCAATGAAGACTTGGATTTCTGCAAAGGTAGCCACTTACCTGAACTTGTCTTAAACTATGTTCTCAGTGCTGCTGCCAATACGCTGCTGAATAATTTGTGCAAAGTTCAAAATAACAAGCTGAATGAAAGCAAGGCTGCAAAGCGGAAGAAAGTTGAAAATAAAGGAACTGAAAGCAAGGCTGCGAAGCAGAAGCTCAGTACTCTTCAAGCATAATCTTCTTTCTTATGAATTGTTCTGCCTGTTTGGATTATGATGTATCATGAATAAATATGTCTCACAACGAAAATTTAAGCCTCTCTTAAATTGCACGAAATGGCTGTGCATGCTGTTCAAAATTTTACGAGTGCCTGATGAATTATTTCAAGCCAGCGTTTAGTCACAACATACTGAAAATATTCCTTAATGCAAATATTCTGTGCACTCCAAAACCGCGAAAGTAATGATAATAATGTAGGGAAAATGCCATTTCGGAAAGAAAAAGCACAGCGTTGGGTGAAGCCAACTTTTAGGCTGATGTCACTGCCGTGACGTCACGCAGCCCTGCACAGGCCTTCTCTGGGTCTAGGTGGTGTTGGTTGGGGACGATGACCAGCTCCGTCCCCCCATTCACCCCTCGACCCCAGTACTGGACATGGCACAGCGCTTTTGGGTGAGTGTAGAGAGGTTGTAAAAGAGAAAAGGGGGAAGAGGGAACAAAAAAGAGGTTGTGGGCGAGACGTCCCTTCGTCCATAGAGTTACATACAAGTATTATTGTATGAAACTCCATGCCCCCGTCGATCTGCTTGCTTCACGTGGAAGCAAAAAATTTCCCTAGATGCTGACAAATTTCCCTTTTCCCCTGATTGCAACCGAAATTTCCTAGATTTAGGGAAATTTTTCTGGAGTTGGCAGCACTGCAAGTTATTCATTAGGAAAGAAAAAATACCCATCCGATGATGATAGCACGCACCATCTAGTGCCATCTCTAAAATATCCACTAATGATGATAGCAAGTGCCATCTGGCGCCATCTCTTAAGCATCAAGCGAACTATTATTGCACAGAGATTCAATTCAATCCAAGCCAAAGGGGCAAGTGCGCGATGTGGCGTGTTTTGTATGCTGTGTCGGTAATCTTGTCACTTTATGGGGCGATACCGAAGCTACGCAGCTAATTTCAAGCTTGAAGTGATAGATCATGCACTGAACAACTGCAACAGGGCCGCCGGTAGGCCCTTCGGAGTCTACAAGTTTTGTGTTCGCAACTGACGACGGCAGCTAAAAGCCAACAAGACGCGTTGGGCCTTCCATGTGCCTAAAACTGGGATTGATGGTAAACTTTATTTCTTCTGAAGGAAACTGCAGATGATTTTGTTCAATAGCCATTAACCCAACACTGACGTCCTATGCTTACCTTTTGAGGGCTCTTTTTGAGCGACGAACGCTACCGCTATGTCCGCAACGCCCACAAGCTTTGCGTTTGGTATTCTAATTCTTGACTATTTGCTTGCACTTTTACTGTCTCAAATAAATCTTGCCTTGGGTTGAACATGTGCTTTCATTGTTGAGGTAAGTTTTAATCAATACTTCTCAAAGCTTGCTCTTAGTTGCTGGTGTGAGAATTCTGATTTGCGGCCACTTGGTTTTCTTTTTCGCTCTGTATGTTTTCGTGGAAAGTTTTCCCCGCGTAATTCTCGCACCCTCGAACTTTGCATCGGTGTTCCGTCAAAAAAAGTGCGAAGATTATGTGAGTAAATACTGTAGTACAAAGCAGAAAAGATCGTTTTAACGCCGGGAGGTTCAGCGGAACATTCAGGAGGGTTCCCGTAGCTTCGCCATCGTTTTGCAGTCACGTTGAGTGCATCTAGGAAAGACCTAATTATACAGACAATAAAGTCAAATCTATGCTGTTCCCTTGGTAAATTTTGTATTGTATATTAATGGGTATCAATACGTGAACGACACTTTGCCAAAACTATCAAATACCAACTGTAACTGTGCAATGTTTCCTAAACCAGGAAAGCTAGCATGCTCCCGCTATTTTCAACAAGATACCATTCCTAGCGCTGCTTTCTGACACACACATATACGCAAGCCTGTGAACACTGTAGGCGGGGTGAAACTGCTGCGTGCAGAACCAAATTGAAATTGAGAACACACGTAGGCAGTTTACTAACGCAATTCGGTCCTAACTGTGTACTTCCCATCATTCCCAGAATAGTTGAACGATCGCACCGCCCAATTTTATTCAAGGTTGTAATGACTACGAATCTGTATGAGCTTCAGCAAGCGAAAGGAAAAGCTGAAACGTGTGGTCCCGGTGTTCAGCAGAGGATTGAGCACAACGCTGGACTTATTAATGAAGTTGAACACACGTTTCGATTGGTCTACTACAGTGTTAATTTCACATGCTTCCCACTGTGCCTCCCATGATGACGGTCATTGAAGAGTGTAAATAGAAGTTAAATGCTTTTAAATTGCGTTAATCGCATTGGTTGTTCTTGAACAACAGGCGATGTGGAGAGCTTTATATTTATTTATCACAGTAAGCATTATCTTTCGCATATCAAGGTATCCTTTAAACGACATTGTTTTTTCCACTGCTTCTATATGAGTCAATCATAACTCCCTTGGACAGATAAAAATATCTGTGGGTTTGTACGCTTTATTCTCTTGGCATTTACTCATGCAAATAAATAAGTGCATAAATACAGTAAATGAACCAAGTGTCATTGTGTCTGATTCTTTGAGTAAACGAAATCGTCATATAGTGTTGCGATGCAGCTGTTTGCCCTTAGCGCTCCCCCCTTCCCCCCCACCCCCCCCAAAAAAATAACACTGCTGCCTTCCTGAATTCAATTGAGCAAGGTATGCGAATTGTGCATTGTACCTTGGTAATCTACCGTAAATAAATACATATATACATTAGTCACATAAAGACTCTTTCTACTAATTTTGTACTTCATTACGTCTTTTTACTTTGTCACCATGGTAACCATTTCTTTCGGGTCACTGTGGCATAAACCAATTTCATATGCTTGGACATAAGCCACGTTCTTGCTCAAAGTCAGATAAATACACGAGAGTGGATGTGCGAACGTTATACATATTTGAGTGCAGCACTTTACACAACATCTTGCACCATTGTTCATCCGTCACTGGGCAGCTATATGCAACGTAGCCCGGTCCTTCAGACAGAATTTGTTCGGTTATAGCGCCTTCCCATCACATTAGCGCCCGTTCACATGTTGCTGCATGGCGACGCTCTTTCTTTTCACCTTATTTTTCAGTACTATGTACGTGCTGGTCAAGTCAAAAGGTATTCACAACTGCTCGTAACGTCGCTAGGATGATATTGACTTCATAAGAAACTGAGGCACAGACATTGGTGGGTTCAATCCGCCCCTTCATGATACGGCAGCGCATGCTCCCTTTCCTAGCGGAAAGCTCGCAAGGCGCTTTATGTCAGATGCTTCAATCCTGGCGATAATGGTTTTCTTGGCCCTTATCAAATTCCTGCCAAAAAGGGCAAGGGGCAGCACAGGAAAATAAAAGTGGCTTCCACCGCTACACTCCGGAGCCACGAAACACCACCGGTGCCTGCGTAGAACCGAAGCCGAATCTAGCAATACAGAGCTTTGCTCAAGGAGACAGTCCATATTTACATGGTATTGTCGAATTTCTTTCCAGTTTTCTCAATTTCGAATGACTTTTTGCTCTTTTCTCCTCACTCTAGAGTATAATCCCCCCCTCCACGCCGCACCGCTGCCGATCCGATGAGCCCCGCGCCGGTCACGCGTCGCCTGCCGGAGGTTAAAACACCGGCACGCTGGCGGCGGCAATTTTCGTACCTGGTGCACAGGTCTGCTGAGGCGCAACATTGTTATATGATTGGTTGAGATGGACCGCCATTCACAGTATTAGGCTATTTGAGAGACAGAGGATATGTAAGAAGCAAGAGAACCAAGAAAACAAGTGAAGTGTTGATTACTGTGATGACTACAAGGCCGCTTGCAATAAAACTGTTCAGTTATCTTCTTTTCGAACAAAACTTGAAATTAGCTCAATTTTCTTCTTTAACTCTTAATATCTCGAAAATAGTCTTTTGTTACATATGCTTCATAATCGAAACAACTTGACAAAACAGAAGGCTATCTTTTTACTATAATAAACCATACATTAGTACGAAGCTATTGAACTCGAATGGTACATGTAAGCAGAATAGGTCTGATTATATCCCAGTTTTTCATTAAAAAAAGACTATAATTACTTGCTTTGCTTGCAAAATCGCCAAAATGTACACACTTGAACTACAAATATAATTTCAGTTCCACTGCAAGCAGAGACGCCAACAAATAAAATGAAACAAGCCCGAATACTTTACATAAAGCAAATAGGTCTAAAGCAAGCCTAAAAATGCATCGGGCCTACTCTGTGCAGTCTGAAGTCACTTGAAAATAGGATCCAAGAAGGCAGCTTCAGCCCAACGACTCTACCCCGGCCTTGACAACGACTGGGAAGTCTACAACAGGAACACAGGCTTGTCGGGTTGCTACTAAGCAATAGAAATGGTGCAACTTCGTCAAGAGCGCCGACAGCAACCATGACATGACACAGACGGACAACGTCGAATCCACCTTGATGCTTTGCCTACCGTACCAGCAGTAATAACACTACATTACGGACACAACATCATAAAGTCTATGTGGCTTGACTGTGTTGTTGCAGTTAAGACTGCACTGAGCTGAAGCACAGTTTTCTCTTTTCCTTACTGTCAATTACAGACAGTATTTGATTTGTATGAAACTTGGCACAAAATTGCATCCAGAACTCTCCCGCTTCGGTTACACATGAGAAAAATATTGCTGTGTGTCCTAACTTCAATCAGTATTTCCCTGTTCTAGTATTTTTTTCTGCTGGAATCGGTACATATTAGCCTAACTCTTACAATTCATGAGTAATTTTTCACAAACATTTTTTTACAGTATCACTAGCCAAACAGTGACTGACCGGGTGGGCCCGGGTCAACCCGAGGCTTATGAAACGAAGGCAGAGGGGAGCCCACGATGAAAGGCCTCTTGCGTGCCAACAAAGATTGACGCCGCACCCAGAAGGCACCCAATGTAATGACCAGAGCTGCACCGACCAGCAGAGGGAGCAGCAGAAGCCACAGCAGACGACTCTGCCTCGCCTTCGCCCCACCTGTCAGGCTCCCTGGAACCGCCCTGAGCTGCACACAAAACAAAATAGATTCTGAAGATTGCCTTGTAAAGCAGCCACCACCATGCATGTGCACTACTGGGTTTAGAAGAATACAAAAATGCTTCACTATAAATATTATTACTTTACTTCATTGCAAGAATTATATTTCAGCCTATCTCACAGCCACCTCAGCTCTTGTTATGGGGGCAAACGTACATAACACACCTCGCTGCGCTAATACAATCACAATAACGAGCTGCATGTGTGGTTAGTCCTGTGCATTATTCCTTTAATGCTATTATTTCCGAGAGTGCGTATAGTGCTGTTTATGAGCATACACAACTACAAGATTTCATGACCAGAAAATAAAATACTAAACACAAAAGCGCCTCTGCCCCAGACCATTTTCACACATCGATATGTTGACATTCCTTCATGTTCAAATGTTTATGGTGAAAGAGTAATCCAAACTTCTGGTGCTAAGCTGTGGAACAATCTGCCTCTTGAGATAAAGCTTCTCGAAAATATACCGGCAACCAATACTTCTCTTCTAATCCAGCATTTTCTTGACTTTTTTGTAATTGTTAATAAATCTTTATGTATAGTTAATGTGTTCGTGACACACTACCTGTTTGTTTGCTATGTTCTAGTTTTGTTCTCTGAACATGTATGTAAAGAGGTAGCTCTTTACGTAAGAAATGAGATGACACAGAGTTGAAACAGATGTAGCTTTTTTAAATATATATAGTGCGAAATGCTTATTATCGAAGTACCTTCGGATACAACAGCCAAAGGCCTTGTACTGCATAAAAATAAACACACATTAGTAGATGTTGTTTAGTTAAAGAACCCCAGATGGTCGAAATTTTTGGATCCCTCCACTACGGTGTCTCTCATAATCATATGATGGTTTTGAGACCTTAAACCCCACATATCAATCAATAGATGTTGTTTAGGAATCTCCACAAGACCATTAAAATAACTTTCTAGCTGAATCACATGAGTGGCTCAATAGGAAACACTCAAATCAACTTGTTATTTGATATCGTTTCTGGAACCAATATTCATCACTACACAGACTTGCTAACAAGTTATGAGTTACAATAGTTAATCAAATCACCAACGCACATCACTAACTCAAGACAGCATTAAATCACACATCTGACATGAAGTTCTGTAGTGTACAGTGGCATCTCACATTCCTGACAATCTGCCTGTCTTTGCAACCATGCCATCTAGTCACCAGCCATGTATTCTACAGAAGTGAATACATTCGAACCACATTATAACAAACTTGCATATTACATGAAATTAACTTCGTTATATCTAAAAATTTGTTATAAAAGTTTATTCTTAACACTAAATCTATTGGGAGACTATTTCTCAGTTAATTCGTTATAACCAATATTTCATTATATCCAGATTCATTATATCAAGGTTTGAGTGTAACACAATAATGACATCTTTTTCAATGCCCTAATGAAGGAATAGTGGCACTCTGTGTATTCAGCAGATACCACTGACTAAGAATATGAACAGTTCATGAAGATATTTATTAGGTGTAAAAAACTACGCGAATTTGTTTCTGCGGTATCAAAAAGAAAAAGGTAAGAACCATGGCCAACAGCTGCCATTTTAATGTCAATAAATCGCAAGAATAACATGTATAGAAAGTTCAAGCGAAAACCACACAATATCAGTTTGGAAAATAAGCACAGCACATACAAGACCAAAAACATGAGTCTAATCATGATTCCTCATGAAATTAATTTGACGCAAAAAATACTCAAGTTCATAGTGACTCAAATACTACATGGAAAGTGTAGTCAAGACTTCGACAAAGGTTCGTCTCATCAGGCATCGAATGAGATGAAACACGGTCACTGGCCAAGTCTGATGAAGATGTGACGTTTCAGAACTGCATATGGGTTCACTGAGCTGGACTAGAAGTTGTGAATTGTGAAGCCAGTAGGTAATGCAGTGAGTGTGCACAGATGGCAGTCGTAGTCCCTGTTGTCTTATTAATTTCAGCCGCCTCTTTGCATATTGAATATGCCCCTACGAACAAACTCCAGAACTAGCCTGTTAAAGATAGGCAGTCATTCCCAGGAGTCATGTGTAAGATACCTGGTGCTCAGTGCTGTCAAGTGTACATTTGCGAAGCAGGAAAGTTCTCACAACGCCTCAACATCACTAATAACAGTTACACAACAAATGCCAATGCTGAGCATGCACATGAACATAATCACATCAATGACCGGGACAATGCCACTGTCATCACCAAGGAAAAGAACCTGTCATCCTGCCGGCTTCTAGAATCTCTAATTATACAGTCAATGCCAGCTACACGGTCTGTGCCTGCTATCTACGCACACTCAATACAAAACCTACTGGCTTCATAAATGACAACTTCTAGTCCAGCTCAGCGAACAAGAAACCCGTATGCGGCTTTGAAATGTCACAAAATCATCAGGCTTGGCCAGTGACCGTATTTCACCTCATAGATAGGAAGTGATAAATACCGTCCTAAACACATCTAACACTAGCACTATAGTTAATGACAACAGTGAGGGACCCTTTGTTTATTGGTGAAAGCTTCAACACTTACTTCACAACAGTGATGTAGTTGTAAATGATTGAAATTAATGACAAGACAGAACAACAATAAGCGACCCTTCAAGTTCTCTCTTTCTTAGGCCCACTGATCTACATCAGGTAAGAGAAACAGTTTGGGCCTTAAGGGGAGATGCTACTCGAAGACGCTTTTTGTTTTATTATTCACCCTAGAGCAATGAAACTTGAGCTGTTTATGAAACTTTTTACGCTGATTTCAAATATATTATTAGCTTTTTTGCAATTTGCTTACTTTTAGCTCTACAAAATGACAGTGAAAACCTTAACTCTTTTGCCTCCTCCCCTCTTTTCAACCCTAAACTTCAGTAACTTTTTACCATTCATAGTTCATAAAATTTCAAATAAAGTGTAGAATACAAATAACTAATTAGGAAGCACATACAGAATATGTAATAGGTGTGAGAAATAATTAACGTAAGAAAGTCCATGTCACCTATCCTAGTAAAGGTTTACATACAATTTTTTGTTATAAAATAAAATATTGAAAGTTAAACTCGATAATTCTATTTGTCATACTGTGGAAAAAATTTTGGCAAAATTTCATGCAGATCCAAGCACTAGAAGGCCCAAAAAAGGAGGGGCACATTGAAAAAAATGGCAAAATTTGTGTTTTGAGAAAAACAAGTTTTAAAGTTGAAATTGAGTTTTTATTTATGAAAGATGTCTATAAATGCAATGAAATTCCCACATCCAAAAGAACAATCCTTCTTGTAGTGGCCACTACCACTGAAATACACCTGTACCATGAGTTTGTCCTTCTCGGCATTTTCAAGCCGATTCCTCATAGATTTCGCTCACAGACAGGGCCATGAAACGCTTGTCAAACTTTTTCTGCTTCATTTGGCAGAGCTTTGTGCGGACTGCAAGCTAGGAAGAAGTTTGACAGGACTGCGAAATCTAAACTATGTCCAGTGTCGAGGGACACAAGCTAGGAAGAAGTTTGACAGGACTGCGAAATCTAAACTATGTCCAGTGTCGAGGGACACAACAGGGCCGATGCCATTTTGCGGCCACGTTTGTGCCACATACCGTCGTACATAATGGCAATGTTGTCCCCGCTAAGCTTCCTCACTGTGAGCTCCTTCGACCTTGCAAGATTGGCACTGACATCATCCATTGCCACATCACAAACTTTCCGACTGATGGCTCGTGAATGACTTTTGATGCATTGGCTTTTGCAAGCCAACAACTGCCGCAAATCCGACCAGCTGCTCGTAGCCTATTCCTACAGAGCGCGGCGCCACAATGGCTTTCACATGTGAAGCAATGGCTTTTTTCGTTCATAACGGAAATAAACACACGAGAAAAGCATTGTTCAGCTACAGCTGCTTGACAAGACATGGACCCCGCAAGTAGGCTTCACAGCACATTCAGGGGCACAGTGGCCAATGGCGGTCCCCGATTCGTACTACGTGATAAGCCAGTCATGGCACTTGAAAAACGCGCAAAAGCATGCTTCTTTGTATTATTCCTTGCATCGCATCAGTGAAAGAAACTGTTGCTATTTGAAGAGTGAGGCTCGACTCTTCGGCTCATGCGATCGACAATGGCGAGCGGTGGCGCATTATCAGCCGCAAGGTAGAACAGTAGAAGTATTATTCTTATCAAAACAGGCAAAAATTAAAAAACGGTAAAAGGAAAACTCACGTTTTTCGACTCGCATCTCCCCTTAAAGAGCACTTCTCTAATGAGTCTAGACTTGGTGCCAGTATCTCAGCTGAAACATTGTTCAACTATAATTTGTAAACACCAAAGAAATATCATTAATTTAATGGTATTCACTTTGGGATCATTTCGTACGCTACAAAATATTCACATGGTTGTGCCAGTATTTATAACAAAGGGGATAAGTTAAATATGCCAAAATATCTAGCAATATTCATGTTGTTTTTGTTTTCTAAGGTTTTTAGAGCAGGTAACCCCAACCCGACTAGGCAAGTTTCCGACAGCCCCCAATGTTTATGCTAAAAATTATTATGAATATCAAAAAGGAAAATCCCTCAAACAGCGTTAAATTGACATTGAGGAAAAAACAAAAAATAAACACAGAAAGCAGGTTATTGGCTATGACTACCTTTGTGGAATTAACCAAAGCTTTCGATCCTGTGAACCATGACATACTATAGCTGCAAAATCTTGAAGTGTATGACATTTCTGAAGCACCATCAAGACTAATTCCGGTAGCACAGAAACTGGGAGCACCATGTGATGGTCAACGTCACGTCATCTGAAACAAATAACAGTGGAAATCCCCAGGGATCCATTTTGGACCCTTTTCTTTTTCTGGCATACATAAGTGATTTACCAGACTAACTCTCAGAAGATTGCATTTTATACGCAAATGATACCAATATCTTCCCCGACAGTTCAAACAGAAGCTGAGCTTTACAAAAA